ATAGCTTAAAAGACTTTACCATATAGTCAAACACTTCACCACAAAAAAGGCCATACTATTATTGGGCATTGAAAATAATAATTTTTCACCAGAAATGTAAATGTTATATAATGAATAAATGGAACTAATAGAAATTGTAAATATGAACAAATAATTACAAGCGCTGGATGAGATAGATAGATATCAAAAATATATATAAAATCGAGAATTCATTAAATAAGCCTATAGGCCTGCTGATCTGATCGGGAACCGGGTTCCATGTAAAGCAATAAATCCGTTTTGTGTCCCTAGCGGCGAATACACAGGCAAAATAAATGAAGAGGTAAGAAAAACCATCATCGGATGGAAATTGTCATTAATTGTAATGACGAAAATAAAACATGTTTGGTTAAAGCACCTGCCGTGATAATACAATACAACAACAAAATCCAGCCATTTACTGTCTTATAAACATTACAGATATAATCAAATAAAAATGTTATCTTTAACTAACATAAGTTCATGTCAAAACAATTTGTTATCCATAGACCTAGTAAATTAACATGCATACAAAATTTGTATTAAGGCTCATGTGCAATAAAGAACCTAGTACATATTTCGAGACGAGTAAAGGGGTTACCCTGGTGTACTTTTTCATACAATCCCTGATGTGGAAAAACGAGAGATAGCTGCGTAGGGGAGAAGAAAGTTACTGACCGAACCACACCTCGAGCGTTTTGACCTAAAACCATTCAAGATCAATCAATGTCCACCAAGTTTTTCTCCTCAAATCCCAGATGACCGCCAAAATCCAAAATGGCCACCGAAATTTAAAATTATTAGAAATATACAGCAAATTATTCGTTTTTGAAATTATTTTGATCTTGAATGGTTTTAGGTCAGAGATAACAAATCACCTAAAATTGAGGATTGAACGTTGAAAAAACCGAATGAAATGCTGTATAATTCTAATAGTTTTAATTGTGGCGGCCATTTTGGATTTTGGCGGCCATCTTGGATTTGAGGCCAAAATCAGAGTGGCCCCCAAGCTAACTTCAAATAGAATGGGGTTATGGTGATAAAACCGCTGAGAAAACCTCGACAGGAATAATGAGGCAGTTTTCCTTTTTTTGCCCTAACTACGGTCTATGTAAAATGTTTAACAAAACATATCTTATATTATTAATATCTCTATACTGGCCCAGTGCCACTGCTGTCCTGGAAGACAGCTAATATAGTCCCACTGTACATACAAGCACGGAAATGCCGTAATAAATGAAACCCATGGAAGATGTTACTAGTTATAGACCGATCTCGCTTCCGTCAATAAGTTTGTAAGAAATTTGAGAGAGCTTAATTGGTCCAATTCTTGAGTATACACAGGAACATATTATCCGTCACTTTCATTATGAATTTGCCAGGGCCGTGGCACTGATCTGCTTCTCTCCAACTATAATCATTAGTTTACTGAAAAGTTTTGATAAGAATAGATGTAAATGCATGTAATGTAGCTATAATCTATTTCTCGAGTGCATTTGAAAATTACTTACAATCATAGTATTCGAGGAAATACATTAAAATAAATGTATTTTTAAGTTGTTGCAAGTAAAGTCAGTCATGTCCCAGAGCCGTTTCTAATGGTGTTCCTCAGGGAAGTGTCATTGGTCCAATTCTCTTTATTTTTTTTGTGGCAGTTTTTTTTACCAATCAATACGCAAATGACACACTATTACCATGGAGCCTCTCGGACATGACTGACTTTTAGAAAAATATTGATCAATTTTCTTGTTGGTGTTTTGAAAATGGTCTTCCACTTAATCCAAATGTAAGATTTGATGACATCCCTCCTCCAAAATTCATCAATAATTCACAAATGGCAGTTGTATCTGAAGCCAAACTTCTCGGCATTATTTTATCATCTAATGCAATGGCGTATCCAGGGGGTGCGCACCCCCTCCAAAAAGTTCCCCCCAGACTAAATTCTTGCTTATGTTAACCACATGCTTACCTAAAATTATACTAACTCTGGTTTCAAATCAAGGTCAAGTAGTTAAAAATCACCTAAAATCACCTTATTTTGCGAATTAGTGCCCCTTAACTGATCATCGAGCCACCCCCCCCCCCCCCCCCCCCCCCCCCCCCCCCACTTTACATTCGCTCCCCCAATCAGCACCACATTTCAAGACTTCTATATACGCCACTGATATAA